AAAAAAAAAAAAAAAAAAAAAACAACAACCAGGAAGCAGATTGGAATTCCACTAAATGTCATACTAATATTACTGCTAATCCATTAACCTCACTTAACCCGCTCTCTCTCCTTTTCCCCGACCTTACCACTTTCCTCCTTTACACCAACTCATCGTCCTGGGCCCCCCCCCTCCCCGCCCCCCCCAGGCTTTAGAGCGTCAGAGGGAAATCTCTGACGTCATTCAAATCGAGCGCGACCAGCTGAGAGTTGAGGTGCTCAGCCTCCGAGATGTTGTCAAGGTACAGAAAAAGAAGTCGCATGACGGTGTGGCCATGTCACATGACACGACCGAACAATTTGGCCTCTTTCAGAGTTTATTTCTTTTTTTCTTTAAGGAAGGTCTGCCAGAAAGAGTGCAAGTTACTGATTATTGATCATCTTCCAAGCAGAAATACGGCGACGTCATTTCTCCTGAGGTCGCAACCGACGGGGGGCCGAGATTGGACGATGCTGAGGATGAAGTCGGCGATAGCTTTGCTTCCCGGTTGGCGAACGAAGCTCCTGGGAGCGGAGAGAGCATGCTAGGTAAGACTCGGTTGCCAGGAAGCACAGAATATCATTCCACGATAGTAAAGCAGGGGTGTCCAAATTAAAGCCTGAGTCCATTTGCGTCCATTTTGTTGCTGACTCAGCATATACTCAATATTACATTTGACAAGGCCCACAATGCGGATTTTTAGAGATGTAAATGTTGATTACATTTTTAGAGAGAAGGGAATTATTTAGCATGGTCAATGAAAAAAAAAACTTGTCACTCCAACATGTTTTTTCTCAGCAAGGTCTTATGACTTCACTCAATCAAATAATGACTCAACTTGCTTGATTTTTTTTTCCCCCCCCCACGGCAACTCGGGACTTGCTTGAGACTTGAAGGTTAAGACTTGAGATTCGCACATATGTGACTTACTCTCACCTCTGGTGTCATCGATCCATTTTCTGAACCACTCGACTTCACTTTTAGCATTTAGCTGAGCCATAGCTCGACTCGGCTTACTGGCTTTTCTTTACGTTTCTTTACTCCGCCGCCTACCCGACCCGACAACAATCACAGAAGTCCCGGTGGTCGACGAGCTCGTCCGGAATGTTGAAAAGTGCGGTGAAGCTCGGCTGGCCCGCTTTTCTTTACGTTGCCTTCGCTATCTCCGGCGCCTGGGCAGACCCCGACAACAATACACCGCGATGTTGAGAGTGCAGTGAAAAGTAGCTTGAACTCTTGTATTTGTGAGGTAATCCAATGTTGATTAAGTCCGCACATTTAGTCTGTCCAGCAACGAAGAATGAAATGTGAAAAAGGAAAACTCATCGGTCTATATGATTCCCCGGCGTCGAGCCGGGTGACCGCCCAGGGAGCCCCAGTTACGGCTCTCATTCAAGCGAATGGCACTGCGGTGGGCTCGTGATTTTTTTTTTTAATTCCAAGTGTCAATATTTATATAAAATATTGTTTTGAGTGTCAAGCAGACTTCGACTGGATGTACGGTAGTGTATTTAATGCGGCTTTCAATATTGGGTGAAATATTAGCCTCGTTCGCAGTGTCGGACCGACATAAGTATCGTCATTTTTTTTCCTCCAATAATTCTCGTGCATCCATAATATATCGTGTAATTACTCGATGGATTGATTTTTAGCATCTTGAATCGAGCAAGGTCAAAGAATTTCAAAGTTGCTCTTCAACTGTTCTAGATGCAGCCCATGGAGGAAATATTTTGGACATCCCTGCCCTAAAGCATGATCGGTTCTCATTGATTTGAATATGTTCCAGTTTATTTGAATCAATCTAATGGGTGCTCATGTTCACTGAGAACCTCGTTCACTCTCTACCTGAGCGTCTGGGTTAATTCCCCGCTCTCCGTCGTTGACAACTTGTCTATGAGTTACTCGATGGATTGATTTTTAGCATCTTGAATCGATCAAGGTCAAAGAATGACTGGTGCTCCAATGTATCCTTGGTGGTCTTTCAGGCATCAGTGGAGGCATGACATCCCGCCATTGCCAGATAAATAAACCCCCACAGGCGCTCAGCTTCAGCTCGGCTGCCAGGCACTTACGAGCTTCGCTCATGAGCCGAGAGGCCCGTGCGGGAAGACAAACAAATCACAAAGGAGGAAGAAAAGGTCAGATGAGGATATTGCCCAGCAGACTCAGACGAAGCTGTGTGCCCGTGAACGGATCAATCGCAAGACAAGCAGCGACGCAAAGTGGAAACTCTGTCCCTGAATTGACTTTTACACCCAAAGTCAAGCCGTCGTCTTTTGCGTCACTGAAAAATGCCCAACTGTCCTCAAAACGGTGCAACAGTCCGTCGAAATGGAAAAAGCCCATCTCTCGTGTTTGTAGAACTTCCATTGGAAAGGTCCACAAATCAGGTCAGTCTGCCTCGGACTTGATCTTGGACCAAAAGAACATCAGATCCGGGAACTCAGCTGAGCAGCAGAAGACAGATCACATCACCTTACAGCAAGCTGACTTTCACCGCTCGCCAGGCCAGAAAATGAATGAGAAGCTTGCTCAATGTTTCTCTGCAGCCACTGGAATGAGAGGCGCTCTGGAGCCACCTTGCTCAGCCAGTCTCATACGTGAAGACTTTGAGGATCGTCCTGCAACATCTGAGCAAAAAGCCATTGCAAATATCTCTGAGAAATATGAAACGCCACACGAAGAAACGGATCGTCCAAACATGACTGACTTTGTTTTTGTGGAATCGTCCTTTGGTGAGGACGCCCTTTCTCCTGAAGACCCCCTCACAAAGTGGCCAGGAACTTCGCGCACTTCTGCCGCTTGCAAGTTCCGAAGGTTTGTTGAGGAACTCAAGGTCATGGCGGCTCCTGAATGGCTGCTGTTGAAACTCCCGGAAGGAAAACTCTTGGAGGAGCGACCCTCCGGCCACATTCTGGAGACAAATGTGCAAGCTGGCCATGAGCCTTCAGTGGCAGACATGGACAGTTGTGAGGAAGCCCACGAGGAGATGGAGCAGTAATCAGCTGCGAACAGAAGGAAATCGTGGAGGGGCAAGTTCGTTTTGGTGATCGGTTCAGTCCAGGGGCGGATATGGATATTCTCGTGGATGCCGGGCCTTAAACCTCACCAAAATCCTAACCTACCTTTTTTGCCTTCAACAGAAGGCTTGGCTGTCACCGTTTATAACGTAAACGTTTGAGCCCCTCTGCTCTCAAGTCTTTGGGTGTGAATATGACTTTGTCAGCTTGTCCGTCCGTATGTGCCCTGTTTTTGACTGGTGACCGTTCCAGGTTGTAAGTCGGCCCAAAGCCAGCTGGGATGGGCTCCAGTTCACGCGCCACCCTGATGAGGACAAACGGTACAATCTTTATGAACTCGATGGACTGGAATCATTTAACTGTCATATCTAGATAGACTCGCAAGCTTCAAATTTATTAAGGACCGATGTTTGTATTGTTTAATTTTCCTTAATGAGAATCTAATAAATGATTTCTGTTGAATTGAGCTCAAAGTATTCATTACAAGATTGCTGCCATGTTATGATTTTCTCAACAGCGATGTCGCAGCATTTCTCACGGGTAAGAAATCGTGAAGAAAAACAAACTCTCCGCTGATTGGAATGTGTGAACAATCACGGATTTCCTGAATCAAACTACCAATCGTTTGATTTTATCGCAATACTACAATGGCTCAAAAAAAAAAAATTCAGGTTGTAATTAAAATCATTTGATCATGACATGACTTCACAAATAAGCTTGTCGGGAGGCTGTTGCAGTGAGTAACCGGACGTTCACTCCTCTCATTCAAGCAGACTTCGACTGGATGTACGGTAGTGTATTTAATGCGGCTTTCAATATTGGGTGAAATATTAGCCTCGTTCGCAGTGTCGGACCGACATAAGTATCGTCATTTTTTTTCCTCCAATAATTCTCGTGCATCCATAATATATCGTGTAATTACTCGATGGATTGATTTTTAGCATCTTGAATCGAGCAAGGTCAAAGAATTTCAAAGTTGCTCTTCAACTGTTCTAGATGCAGCCCATGGAGGAAATATTTTGGACATCCCTGCCCTAAAGCATGATCGGTTCTCATTGATTTGAATATGTTCCAGTTTATTTGAATCAATCTAATGGGTGCTCATGTTCACTGAGAACCTCGTTCACTCTCTACCTGAGCGTCTGGGTTAATTCCCCGCTCTCCGTCGTTGACAACTTGTCTATGAGTGGTGCTCCAATGTATCCTTGGTGGTCTTTCAGGCATCAGTGGAGGCATGACATCCCGCCATTGCCAGATAAATAACCCCCCACAGGCGCTCAGCTTCAGCTCGGCTGCCAGGCACTTACGAGCTTCGCTCATGAGCCGAGAGGCCCGTGCGGGAAGACAAACAAATCACAAAGGAGGAAGAAAAGGTCAGATGAGGATATTGCCCAGCAGACTCAGACGAAGCTGTGTGCCCGTGAACGGATCAATCGCAAGACAAGCAGCGACGCAAAGTGGAAACTCTGTCCCTGAATTGACTTTTACACCCAAAGTCAAGCCGTCGTCTTTTGCGTCACTGAAAAATGCCCAACTGTCCTCAAAACGGTGCAACAGTCCGTCGAAATGGAAAAAGCCCATCTCTCGTGTTTGTAGAACTTCCATTGGAAAGGTCCACAAATCAGGTCAGTCTGCCTCGGACTTGATCTTGGACCAAAAGAACATCAGATCCGGGAACTCAGCTGAGCAGCAGAAGACAGATCACATCACCTTACAGCAAGCTGACTTTCACCGCTCGCCAGGCCAGAAAATGAATGAGAAGCTTGCTCAATGTTTCTCTGCAGCCACTGGAATGAGAGGCGCTCTGGAGCCACCTTGCTCAGCCAGTCTCATACGTGAAGACTTTGAGGATCGTCCTGCAACATCTGAGCAAAAAGCCATTGCAAATATCTCTGAGAAATATGAAACGCCACACGAAGAAACGGATCGTCCAAACATGACTGACTTTGTTTTTGTGGAATCGTCCTTTGGTGAGGACGCCCTTTCTCCTGAAGACCCCCTCACAAAGTGGCCAGGAACTTCGCGCACTTCTGCCGCTTGCAAGTTCCGAAGGTTTGTTGAGGAACTCAAGGTCATGGCGGCTCCTGAATGGCTGCTGTTGAAACTCCCGGAAGGAAAACTCTTGGAGGAGCGACCCTCCGGCCACATTCTGGAGACAAATGTGCAAGCTGGCCATGAGCCTTCAGTGGCAGACATGGACAGTTGTGAGGAAGCCCACGAGGAGATGGAGCAGTAATCAGCTGCGAACAGAAGGAAATCGTGGAGGGGCAAGTTCGTTTTGGTGATCGGTTCAGTCCAGGGGCGGATATGGATATTCTCGTGGATGCCGGGCCTTAAACCTCACCAAAATCCTAACCTACCTTTTTTGCCTTCAACAGAAGGCTTGGCTGTCACCGTTTATAACGTAAACGTTTGAGCCCCTCTGCTCTCAAGACTTTGGGTGTGAATATGACTTTGTCAGCTTGTCTGTCCGTATGTGCCCTGTTTTTGACTGGTGACCAGTCCAGGTTGTAAGTCGGCCCAAAGCCCGCTGGGATGGGCTCCAGTTCACGCGCCACCCTGATGAGGACAAACGGTACAATCTTTATGAACTCGATGGACTGGAATCATTTAACTGTCATATCTAGATAGACTCGCAAGCTTCAAATTTATTAAGGACCGATGTTTGTATTGTTTAATTTTCCTTAATGAGAATCTAATAAATGATTTCTGTTGAATTGAGCTCAAAGTATTCATTACAAGATTGCTGCCATGTTATGATTTTCTCAACAGCGATGTCGCAGCATTTCTCACGGGTAAGAAATCGTGAAGAAAAACAAACTCTCCGCTGATTGGAATGTGTGAACAATCACGGATTTCCTGAATCAAACTACCAATCGTTTGATTTTATCGCAATACTACAATGGCTCAAAAAAAAAAAATTCAGGTTGTAATTAAAATCATTTGATCATGACATGACTTCACAAATAAGCTTGTCGGGAGGCTGTTGCAGTGAGTAACCGGACGTTCACTCCTCTCATTCCAGAGCTACATCTGAGGAAGCTATTTGAAGAGAGAGAAAGTTTCCAGGATCAGGTGCGATTTTTAGCATCAAGTCATGCAGCGTATCTGGAAATGTCCCACAAGAGGGAGACAAACAACCATCCTGCAGGATTTTCCTTTCGTTTTTTTTGAAAATGCGCGTCTTCTGTAGGTGAGAATGCTCAAGGCTCAACTGCTTCTGAGGCAAAGAAACTGGTCCGATGGGAGCCAAAATCCAGACCAAGACGGTCTAGAAAACGGCACAGACTCGCATATGGCGGACCTTCAGAGTGAGTCTTCCTCTCTTTTTCTCACCCTTGTTCACGGAAACGTTCACGTTCATCTTCGTCATTGACTTTGCTACGGCACATTTTTCTTCTCAGGGGATGCAAGCAGACAAATCAGCGACCTGAAGTTCAAACTGGTGAAATCCGAACAGGAAGTTGCCACTCTGGAACAAAACGTACGTCATTCACGTTTCCCCTGTTGTTTGATTTCTTCAATTCACATTAAAATCCATCCATTTTCCGATCCGCTTTATCCTCACATGGCTCGCGCGGGGTGCTGGAGCCTATCCCAGCCGTCTGCGGGCACTAGGCGGGGGACACCCTGAACCGGTTGCCAGCCAATCGCAGGGCACACGTAGACCAACAACCACCCGCGCTCACACCGCGGGACAATTTCGAGTGTTCCATTAACCTACCACGCATGTTTTTGGAATATGGGAGGAAACCAAGACGGCCCAGTGGTCCAGTGATTAGCGTGTCGACCTCACACAGTGCAGAGGGTTCAATACCAGCTCCGGCCTCCCTATATGTTTGCATGTTCTCCCCTGGGCCTGCGTGGGTTTTCTCCGGGTACTCCAGTTTCCTCACATATTCCAAAAACATGCATGGCAGGCTGATTGAGCACTCTAAATTGTCCCGAGGTGTGAGTGTGAGTGCGAGCGCGGGTGGTTGTTGGTCTACGTGTGCCCTGCGATTGGCTGGCAAGCGCTTCAGGGTGTCCCCCTCCTCCTGCTCGAAGGTGGCTGGGAGAGGCTCCAGCACCCCCCGCGACCCATGTGAGGATAACACGGATTGGAAAAAGGATGGATGGATGGATGAAGGAAACCGGAGTACCCGGAGAAAACCCACGCAGGCACGGGGAGAACATGCAAACTCCACACAGGAAGGGCGTGGCCGGAATTGAACCCTGCACCTCTACACTGAGGCAGACGTGCTAACCAGTCGTTGACTGTGTCGCCCTCACATAACATTCCAAGCAATATATATACATGTATATTTTTTTAACCCTTTAACATCCCATGAATGTAATTTTTTTTTTTTTTTAATGACAAAAAAATGGCGAGATGTGTTTTTCACAGGACACCGATGATATGGAGCATACTGTAAACTTGGAGAATAATCAATAACTCCTCAGTGTCACTAAAGTTCAGTTGTTCCCTGCTGGTGTGTCCTCCATTGTCCAGGTCATCCGGCTGGAAGGTCAGGTGACTCGCTACAGGACCGCATCAGAGAGCGCAGAGATGCTTGAGGACGAGCTGAAGGTCGAGAGGAGAAAACTACACCGAGAAGTACTTTCCTCGTACAACTGCAATTCATTTCATTCGCTCTTTGTGAAGCAACGTGAAAATCTTTTTTTTTCAGAGCGACATTGTGTGTATTTGTAGTATTTCAATACTACAAAGTCAATGCGAAAATTAGAATGGCGCTGCCCTGTAGAGATGGGCAAATCGATACCAAAACATTGATATTTCGCTCCAGGGTGCTCAACTTGAAACATCGATCTTCAAGCTAAAGTATCAAAATTTGCAATTCATTTATTATGCTGTATTTTCTTTTAGGGTATATTATTCTGCCTACAAACTACTTTTTCCTTCTGCCCTCTGCATGCACAGCGTCTGCTCTGCCCACTCTTACTATTGTTACGCTCTCTTTCTCTCTCTCTCACTCTCTCTCTTTCTCTTTTAACACACTCACACATAAAGATGGGAAAACGAAGCTTCATGTAGCACCTATGATACTTTTTGACACCTCTAGATGGTGCTCTTGGTTTAAATATAAAGGTTCGTGCAATGGAAATGTATTGAAATTCCACTGCATCTTTAAACCAAGAGTGCCCTTTAGAGGAGTCAAAAACTTACACAAGTGCTTCACGAAGCTTCACTTGTCCACCACTACTCACACACATTTGAAGCCATCTTTATTTCAGAAAGTAGGCAATTTGTTTATTTTGGTTCGTACATACCTGCACTGTTATTTTTGTCGAGTCACAAATATTTTGTGTTTGTTTCCAATTTTTCATTCTTTACTTTTTGTCATTTTCCAAGCTGAAAATAGGGGATTGACTGTTCAAGATTGTAACAGGTCGGTGTTTGCTGTTTCCTGTCTGCAGTTGCGCTCAGCTTTGGATCGGATTCAGGAGCTGGAGGCGACGAATGGCCTCCTCGCCAAACGTTTGGAGAAGATGAAGGCCAACCGCAACATCCTGTTGGCCCAGCAGTGACCCCGACGTCCCCGAGAGGAGCCCGACTCCTCCCGCAACGGTCTCCCGAGTGACTCTCCGCGTTGGAGAGCGTGCGGAAATCTTTTCCCCTGCAACTGGACTCGGCAATGGCTTCTGTTGGGTGACGGCTGCTTGATTTTCAGCAACGGGCGGGACCATTTGGATGGGGTTTGGTGTCACCAGGTAATGTGGGGCTCCATAGAATGTCTTAGGATGTCCTGAAACCCCGCACAAGTGCTCGGCCAGGTTCTGAAAACAAATGACTTCTGCCTCGTCAACTTTTTCCTCCGACACTGGGAGGTTTGAGGATTTCTTCAATATCGGCTTCAAGTCTTGGTGTGAGGATGCTCTTTGATCTCACTAGTAAGACGATTTAGCACACCACAGTGAAACTCCTCTACAACGAAATCATGTTTGCAGCAAGAAATTTTTCACAACGGGGTGTTTCACTGGAGCAAATTTGATCTCAGATGTAAACACACACACACACACACACACACGTATGTGTACTCTTTATTTTTATTCCAATAGTGCATAAGTATGAGCATACACTTATTTGACACTTCATATATTCAGTGTAGAAAGAAAGAAAGGGAAAGAAATTGCGAAATTTACGATCAGCATTCGCTTTCACTTACATCAATGTCTTGGATAATGTCTTTAATTTTGCTTCTTCCGTCTTTCATTTTGATCACTTTTACCCTCTCTTCCAGCGTCACAGCCCTTCTTGTCTTAGCTGCTTGACATCCAAAGGTCCGTTTTGTAGCCATTTTAGCAATGCAACGGTCTTGCTGCGTCTGAAACGAACAATAACAAATTCTTCCTGGACTAAAACCAGTGTGGTGGTTGCTGTTGCCGTTTCCAAACGAAGCAGTAGAGGTCGCTGTTGGATTAGACTTCGCTGTAGTGAATCTCGTCGCGAGGCAAGAGCAGAGAAAAAGATTTCATATAACGCAACAGGAGTTTTTTTTCGTTGTATCGGGGGCAGGAAAGTGGGAATAGTGTTAATGCATGAAGATTTTTTTCACACTCGGGGGTATTTTCGCCCATGTAGGTTTTGTTGTAGAGGAGTTTCACTGTACTCAAATGAATGTTGTACCGGTCGGTATGTTCCTTCGACAACCCTATGACATAAGTGCACGCGCCGAGACTGACTTGAGTATCTCGTGTGGCGAAACGGTGCACTAGTTGACGTGCTACTAGTATCACTTGTGACATGATGAAATTCCACGAGGTAACATCAAGCGATTTTCCCGGTCGTACTTGTAGCATTCAGATGTCACCAAATATGGTTTTGCCTCACTAGTCACAAGCAGTCCTTCTACTAGCGCGCCCATAGTTGTTCTACTAGTGCGCTGGATTGCCTTACGAGTGACAATGAGCGTACAAGCCTATGGACAGCTCAGCACGCTAGTAGCTCGACTTGGGCATACTAGTAGAACTCTTAGTAGTGGCGTTTTTTTTTTTTTTTTTTTTCATCACACTACTGTCTGGAACTACTACCGGATGGCATTTCTGCACACTAGTAAACTGACAGTCTTACTAGTGATGCTTTTTTTTCCCCCTACACTGCACAAACTTGATGTGCATGCACCACTTGAATGAATCTACGTTACTAGTGGCTGGTTTTCCGCTATTGTCTTCCACTACAGTTTGACACTTCTATGCACTGGTACAGCAACTATGTCTTATAAATGATGTTTTTTTTTCCCCCCCTGCTTTTTCCTTCCATGACTGTGAGATTTTGGCACACCAATAGATGAGATTCCTTTGCACTTGTAGAATGACTATGACGCCCCTATAGACTGACTTGTACTCGTTTGTTACATCGAGCACTTCACTAGTAGTACCGGCAGCGTGGAAAGAGGGGATTTGTCCATACGTGGACCTTAAGCTATGAAAAAAAAAAAGAGGACCACCGTGCGCGGCCCCTTGATTTCATCGAATGGCAATACATGGGTGATGCCTCAAAAAAAATAACGTCACTGATGGCGCGGCTGTTCATTCAACCTGACCTCCATGCAGGCAACGCGGGTTGGGTTCTCACTCGGCGATGGTGGAAACGCGAGTGTTGTCTGTCTCAGCCAAAAGAGCGAGTGTCACTTGGTGTTCACTTCTACCCGAGTTTTGAATATTGAGGATTCAACATGAAAAAGACCTTTATTCCACTTTTAACAACCACAGGTTGAGGTTGACTCCACACGGAAAATATTCACAGTTGTTCAGAATCGTCACCTGGAAGGCTTCTGCAACTTTCTTGGTGGCTTTGGGCTCCAGGTGACATTTCTTGGATATTCCTGTCAACTTTGAGTCCCAGGGGACCTCACGCGGAGATGTCAGGCAGCGACAGACGGATTTCCCTCCGTCAGTGGGTGCCCACAGCGGATCAGGATCAGGAAGCAGCGGTGGAACTGATGGTTCACAGAAACGCTGTTATTTCCCCTCTGCTATCAGAAAAAAAAAAAAACGATGCTCCATTTGTACCTTTCAGGGTCCAATGGCATATCTCGAGTTTGTACCGTATTTTCCACACTAAAAGGCGCACCGGATTATGAGGCGCACCTTCAATGAATTGCCTATTGTAATTTTTTTCATACATTGGGCGCATCGCTTTGTAAGATGCAATCTACAATGCATCCACTAGATAGAGCTACGCTCAAGGAAACGGCAACAGAACGTGGGTGTTCTCCATCTGACTTGCAGCAAGATTTTTCACAATAAAACTCCCAATGTAAAGGTCAGCCTGGGAACCTGAGGCCGGCCGCAGCTGATGTGGTCGGTCACCAGCTGAGGACCTCATTGTCATGAGCAGCCGCAGCATCGATAATTAATATCCGAACAGCTTTTTTTAAGGTGTGAACTTCCGCAGGTGCCTGTCAGGGTGTCGTCTTTCATTCGACTTCTACTTTGAAATATTGAAAACATGAAGCCAAGTGATAAACCTGCTCAAACAGTTGTTGGACACGATCGCCATCATGTTGCTGCATTCAAACTCAAAATATTAGATTGTCGCCTGTGATGCCATCGCAAAACACAATTCTGCCAAGTCGTATGGTACACGCTCTTAAAACCGCTGACTCAAAAGTAACCCAAATTGTGTGAAATAGTTTAGACAACAAGACACTTTATTTCTTTATAACACAAGCCATGACATTTATTTACATTTTACACTTTTCTGAAGTGAACACTGAAGCTCAACCAAGCAAACACAAAAGAAAACAGCAGTTGTTCCTGCTTTGCAATTTCTGTGGTTTTTGGGACATTGAGTTTCATCAGTTGATCACATTACCAACCTCCAAACGATAACAATAATTATATATGATATAGTCTTAAAGCGCAGTCCGGGTCAGGCGCTAACCAGTGCCACTTTGCTTTCTGATGGGGCCTCAATGATTTCCCCCGACATGAAAGACTCCTGAAAAGTCAAAATGTGAAAATCATTGTGAGTGCCAGGCAACCTCCACTGAAAAGAAGAACATTCTCAATGATTTGCGAATCCACACAAGTCACGATTTCTTGCGCACTTCCTGTAATGTGCTACGCTGCCACAAGATGGCACCAACGCTACAGGTACGGGTTTTTCTTTTTCATTCAAATCTTCTGGAAGCCATTTGAATGACAAGTTTTAGTGGACTGTTGCAAGGTGAGTTTGAGATGAAGTGCCTCCTAGTAATGGTGCCAAACAAGCTGTCATTCACCTTGTCATAGATGACTTTGACAATGAGCGAGCAGCTCGGGCACGTGGCCACGTCCTCGCCATTTTCCAGCTCCTCCTGTCAACGGAATAAGATAAGATATCTTTTATTTGTCCCACAATGAGGAAATTTACAGTCTACAGCAGCAAAATTGGGGGGTAGAAGAAGAAAACCAAAGTGTTTGCATGCATAAAAATAAATGTTTCAGAGAGAGCTGTACACAGTTCAATTAAGTGCAATATAGATATAGATAAGGTGGTTGTGCTATTTACAATTGTTACTGGTTTTTCACGTATTTTATTTTTTATTCAGCAGCCTGACAGCAGTCGATAGGAACGAGCGGTATCTCTCCTTCTTGCAGCGCGGGTGTAACAGTCTCTGGCAGATAAAGAGCAATGAATACACATGTTGCAACATTGGGGGAGATTTCAGAAGGAGAAACCAGGAATTTACTAAATTGAAGTTTGTCAACTTAAAAGAGAATTTGAATAGAGTTGAAGAGAGGAAAAATAATGGTGAGCTTAATCATGACTAAAACAAGCGGATTTCACACAAGTACAATTGGATATATTCATCTGTGCTGTTTGTTAATCACAATCCTGAGATTTTTTTTTTTCCGGCCGACTGCACTGTGTTTGCCAACTTGAAAATATTTGAAGATCATTCGTGTTATTTCCCTAGGTTAACTATATCTATTGATGCCATTGGTATTTTGTACTTTATTGGTATAATCAGGTGAAGGAGTAACACACAACTCAACCTTAATGGTTCTTATTCTTAAATGAAATTATTGATCAAATAAATTGTCCGTCCAAACTCCAAATGGAAAGGTTTGGAAACTTGCCATAAAATTACCCAACGTTTTCCACTCCTTTTCAACCGAAGGTTTGTGCTATACAGCACCATACTGTTTTTATTGTTGTATATAGTTTTGAGAACGGTAATGGTGTTTTTAAAATACAATTAATTGGCTTTTGCTTGTTTTCCAACAATGACAAAGTTGTTCAGATGTCTTGAACACAACCTAGAACGTTTTCAGCAACAGAAAGTTGGTCCTGTTTGCCAATAACCGTGGCAGGAGACAAAAAAAAAAAAGTAATTTCGGGAGGTTTAATCGGCCAAATGGGCGAAATAATTCACATTAAAATTACGTGATGTACAGTCCTAACATTAAGCAATGGGTTCGCTCATGGTGACTCACTCTGCTTATGGCGAATTTGTCTCCACAGGGACAGGGAAAGTAATATGTTTCGGTGTCTTCGTCGTATTCAAAGTCTTCGATTTCAACTTCGTCATGAAAAACAGACATTTTCGCAAAGAAAAACCACTTAGAAACGAGGACTAACGCCACATACACGCATTTTGCGAAACGAGTTCAGTCGCCACTTAGTGACGTCGATTTGTTGTCTCAGCTATACAACGCACCCGTCATGGGGACTGAGCGGATTGGCTTGTTCCAGAAATACGTATGTGTCCGCCATGTTGAATGTGTCAGAGTTGCCCTGCAAACTCGCAATGGACTGAATTTATGAAAGCGACAACCAAGAAAATTCGTTTAATCTCATTCATCCGTAAACACACGCACACACACACCCACACACACCCACACCCACACACACACACACACACACACACACACACACACACACACACACACTGACACAAATCCGCGCTCGTATACACACTCTCTCTCTCTCTCTCTCGCGCTCTCTCTCTCTCTCTCTCTCTCTCTATCTCTCTATCTATCGATATGTCTATCCACCCCTCCTCCCCATCTAATAACCCAATTAAAAATACCGTAAATAAGAAAATAAGAAAATAAAATAGAAATGCAAGCAGAAAAAAACATTGTCAAATGGTTTTCGGAATAACAGAACAAGTGAAGGTTTATAAGCTTTGTCGCTAGAGGGAAACAAAGTCTAAATTGACTGCTTCCATGTCCTCTGAGTCGCCATCCCCCGCCTCAAAACACATAACACACCTCACACTTCCAACAATTGAATAGATATGTTGCAAGACGTTTTATTCTTTAAATATTGTTCATTTTCTATCCACTTTGTGTGTTTCAGGCCAATTTGGACTATCTAGTCGACATGGATCAAATTGGCCAGAAACAGTGTACACCAAATTTGTAGCAATATGACCCGAACGTTTTGTTGTTTTTCCAACTTTCATAAGGGTTATGCAAGGAAACGTACGTAGGTTTGTTCGGTGGTTGGGGCGGGTGTTTTGTTTAGGGGGAAGGAGGGGGGCGGTGGCTGTAGACTTCCACCTGGTCGACCAAGTCAGAAACAGAAACGGGCACGACGGCAACCAGGTCGCTCATGGACCCGAGGATCCGCGCCCTGGAGCTGCTCGGGGTGGCGCTCTCCGCGTGCGCGTGGATATTCACGCTGGCGGCCGCGCTCAGGTCGGCGTGGCTCACCCTGTCCACGGAGCTGCTGCCCACGGAGAGCTACGAGCTGGGTCTTTGGGAGACGTGCGTGGTGCAGGACGTGCAGGGCGCTCTGCTGTGCCAACGCCACGGCAGCCCGCTGGCCTTGCCGCGCGACATCAAGCTGGCGCGCGTGCTGGTGTGCGCGGCGCTGTGCGCGGGGCTGCTCGTGCTCGCGCTCGCCATCCCGGGCTTGCACGCGGTGAACGCGCGCGCCGACGCGCGAGCCAAGAAAGTGTTGAAAATGTGCGGCGGGGCGCTGAGCGTCGCCTGCGCCGTGCTGGTGCTCGTCCCGGTGTCGTACGTCGCTCACGTCGCGGCGCTGCGCTTCTTTGACGAGTCGGTGCCGGACGTGGCACCCCGCTGGGAGTTCGGAGACGCGCTCTTCTGCGGGTGGACCGCGGGCGTGTTGCACCTGATGGCGGGGGCCGCGCTGCTCGCCTCCTGCGCGTTCCTGCAAAACCGTCCCGGCCCCGGCCCGCGGGATCGGCTGCAGCACCGACCAAGGACGGAGTACGTCTGAAATGGACACTTGGACGGTGTTTCCCAAGCTTTTGTTGAGCCCATGAGGGCACGTATTTTGTCGTCGACAAATCTCAAATCAATAAAGGAATCGGTGCCAATACGACAGCGCTGTACTCTGTCTTTCCAACCACCCGTTATGTATGACTCGAGAGGTCGCAGGTCAAACGTGATCGCTCAAAGCGACCACCCCTGTGCAACACCTCAACATAAAAGCATGGCTTTAATTGCCCTTTTCCCGTCCGGGACAATGGAGTTTATAAACAAGAAGGAAAGTATCCACCTCGCATTGTTCACCTCATTGGCTCTCATCAGCAGCCAAACAGCAACGCTTTGTAGCCATCACCAGGCGGCATTGCATCGGAGGCCGTGCACGGCCTCGGGTGCCAGGACTCTGAAGTTGTGAGGTTCCTCAAGAGCCTGCACTCGTCCCTCTGTGTTTTTTTTTTTTTTTTTTACTGACTGACACGTACATGTACATTTTGTCACTAATGCGCTGATTCTTCCGTTACTTATATCGTTAGCTGCGTTTATCAAAGGTGACTTTCAACTCAAATAAAAAGAGAGAAAAAAAAAAGAACAGGGTCAAATGGACCCAAGTAGCAGTCAATCACTTTTTGACACCTGATTGGGTTATTTTTGACCAAACTGCTTTACAGACCAACAACTTAAATTGCTCTTCAATTCACCTAAAATGTTGATTTTTTTTCATGTCGGAGAAAGTCCAGAGAAGATGCAAAGACCACACCGGAAGACGAGAGCAGAAATTTGTACCCCGACCCTCAGCTGTGAAGCGGACGTACTCACCGTTTGCGACGCGACTCGGCTGCAGTGTTTCGTCTTCACATGTTGCTGAAGACTCACATCAGCTCAAAACAAAGAAATCAACTCAACTGTTCCCACAATTTTATTTTGAAAAACAAAACATGGACCAGCGATATCGTTTCACATCTTCATGAATAATCTTGTTCAATGTGCTGAAATGAAAAAAACAAAACACGGTGGTTCTATATCAGCGGTCACTAACGTGCTGCCCGTAGCCTGGTTCTAAAAATAGCTCAGCGGTGACGGGCAAGGTGATTTCCTCGGAATGTTGTAGAAGCGATCGTTTGAATGTTTGGTCGGGATTTATTGAAATTAAATTTTACAGATTCCTAATTATTGCAAAAAAATCACGGTCCGCGTCGACGACCAGCATTCATTCTTACTCATAACACGAAATAGTGTGAATCGAACTGGTAGATCTTCGCATTAATAGGTACCCAAGAAGTAGCTCTCATTTTCAAAAAAAGTAAATGAGCCCTGCTCACTACAGTGCAATGAGAATAGTTGTTCTTTGCCTCGATGGTGGGGGTCGGCAACCCACGGCTCTGGAGCCGCATGCGGGTCTTTAGCGCCGCTCTAGTGGCTCCCTGGAGCTTTTTCAAAAATGTTTGAAAATAAATGGAAAAAGATGGAGGAGGGTAATCAATTTTTTGTTTTAATGTGGCTTCTGTAGGAAGAGACACCTGACATAAACATTCTTAACGTTTTCCGATGCTGTAAAAAATGGGTAGAATAAATATTACATTTCAACATTTCTGTCAATGAATATTTGCGTCATGGCCTGCGACACACGTTTCGATGAGCGGGGCGGGATGCCAGACAAATGGCTGTTAAAAAAAAAACAAAAAAAATGGCGCTTCATGTACAATTTAACGAGAGTACTGGCAAAGAATGGCAATCTGGAAGGTCGAGAAAATCATTTTTTAAACTGTACAAAAGTGCGTCCCCTGCCTTGTTCAATTTGCAAGGGGAAAAAAAACATTTAATCATGAAGGCTCATTGTGAATTTGGAGCCAACTTTGGCATTTTGGTAGGAGGTGTATATAGCTCATAGAGATACATACGGTGTGTGTTGCCTTCATGATAAGGATTAAATAAGGTTTTTAATTTTTTTGCAACTCCAGACCTATTTTGTTTTATTTATTTTTTTGCTGGAATATGGCTCTTTCAACATTTTGGGTTGCCTGCTCTACGGCGACCAAAAACAGTCAATCATCCAACTTCCCGTGCGTGAGGTGGTGAACAAGGAAACCGATCGACTTTCGATTCCACACTTTGACCCGGAGTTTAATTTGTTCCGTGAGCCGACTCATGATTCACTTGAGTCATATATCAAAGCAGCACGCTGCATTAAAATGAAATGGAAAGTCATTTATACGTTTCGGGCGCATTTAAAAACAAATAAAGACAAACAACCCTGTACGATTGTGAAAATATATATAATAAAGGGACAATGTAAAGAAATGGTTGTGGTGGTTTTCCAGTGCAAGCCAAAAGTCACAACAACGGCTGTAGCGCTGTCCCGTTTTGTCTCCGTGCCAGCGTCTCGATGCGAGACCGTCGCTGCTTGCGAGTGTTCTCATTTTCCATCTCTATGTTTCACTGTAGAGATCAATAAATAGCTCAAAGTAAATCAGATAGTGTTTCTCCATGCAGAAACATCAGGGCCGACCCCCGAAAAATCGCTAAATTGTGGTATCGGCCGGCTCGGAGCCGCTCAGTCTCTTGTAGAAGCGGCGCCAGGACTGCACGGTCTTCCTGGACCAGATCCAGAAACCCGACGTAATCCCGACGATCATGGTCATCAGGTACTTGATCATAAACACGGTGAAGTCCGGCGTCAGCGGAGCAAAGTTTCCCGCCGGGCACGGCACCGCCAAGCGTTTGCAGGTCTGCATGCGCCACGTCTGCTCCCAGCGCGGACGCAGCGCCTGCTCGTAGAAGTGGCAGGCCACCACGGCGGCGGCGGGGAGGGTGTACAGCAGGCCGAACGCGCCGATCCGCGCCATCAGCTTCTCCAGCTTGGCCGTCTCCGTACCGCCGAGCTTCATGACGGTGCGGATGCGGAAGAGAGACACGAAGCCAGCCAGGAGAAAGGAAGTGCCGAGCACAAGGTAGACGAGTTGCGGAGCCAGCACGAAGCCCCGCAGGGCGTCCACGTCGTACACGCCCACGTAGCAGACGCCGGTCAGAAGGTCTCCCTCCACCCGGCCCGTCGCCAGGACGATGACGGTTTTCAACGCCGGCACGCTCCAGGCCACCAGGTGGAAGTAGCGCGAGTTGGCCTCGATGGCCTCGTGCCCCCACTTCAAGCCCGCCGACAGGAACCAGGTGAGCGACAGGATGACCCACCAGATGGAGCTGGACATGCCGAAGAAGTAGGCCGCCACGAAGAGCGCGGCGCAGCCCTCCTTCTCGGTGCCCTGAATCACCATCTTGTAACCGTCCGCCTTGAACTTGTCCACGCAGACGACTTTGTCCTCAAGCAGGAAACCGGCGACGTACGCCAGCGCCACCATCAAGTAGCAAGCGGAGAGAAAGACCACCGGTCTTTCCGGGTAGCAAAAGCGCTGGGCGTCCATCGCGTACGTGAGGACGGTGAAGAGCGTGCTGATGCAACAGAGGCCCGCCCAGACGGCGACCCACCGCCGACCGAACTTCAGCTCCTCCTCCCCGAAGTACATCAGTCCGTAAGGCGCCGAGACCTCGCAGGGGGCGCCGCAGTCCTCGGCACCGAGGAAGCGGTAGCGGAGGTAGGCGGGCACCTCCAGCTGCGGCGGGCAGGAGAAGATCGGGTCGCCGGAGCCCCGCGACGCAAAGTTCAACGGCCGGGCGAGGTCCGCCGTCGGCGCCGGCGTGGTGGGGCCGTTACCGTCGGACGCGTTCTGACCCACGCAGATCTCTCCGGCGCCGTGGACCGGGAAGTTCTCGCAGCGCAGCCTCTCGGGCCACTGAAAGCCAAATTTATTCATCAGCGCCTCGCAGCCCCGCCGAGCCCGTTCGCATAAAGTCCGGCAAGGGGGGATGGCCCGCTCCAGAACCGTGCACACCGGCGCGTACATGGAACACAGGAAGAACTTGAGGTCCGGCGAGCACTGGACTTTGACCAGCGGGTAGAACTGGTGAACCTCCAGCCCGGCGTCTTCTTGGCTGGCGTGGCCGAGCAGGTTGGGCATGATGGTCTGGTTGTAGGCGATGTCGGTGCAAAGCGGGATGGAGACGGACTGACAAAATCCGTGTTGCGGGAGAGAAAAGCTCTTCCGTTCTTGAGCCCAGCCCGGCGGGATGAGCAAGAGAAAAGTGTAGCTCAGCCACCGACGGGGCCACGTCCTCCGCGTCGCCATGGGGGTCCGATCCACCCAACCGAGGGAAAAGTAGCCCGGCCGACCGACTCGTCGCCGCCGCGTTTTCCCGGAGAAGTCTTTCCGTCACGCCGCACGCGTGTACGCTGAGCGTCTCAAAGCGCTTTCAGATGCAAAGTTGTCTTTGTCGCTCACCGTGAACCTTTTTTGGTTTTCTTCACCCTCCGTGAGACTCAAGCTTGGTGGTCTGTTTCCAGGTGCCCCCCCCCCACTGCTCCGGCATGGGGTTGTGGGGGGGTTGTGAGCTTTTAATTGTTGTGCAGATGAGTTTGACGGAAGCACTGGCCGGGCGCCCATGCGAAGGTCACCGATTTAAAACCTCCCCAGAGCAACACAAAAGCCGGCGAAAATCAACAACCAGAAAGCGGACAACAAAGGAAGAGAGAGAGACAATTTGGAGAAGAGTCTGAAAAAGAGGAGAGGGAGGCTGTTCTGCCCACAGTGAAAGTTTCGGGCTATTTCATTCATGGTAATTGTGTTTAGAATATTCATTTAGTAAATTAGTCATTTTAATCCAACTCCCAAAAATCAGGTCGGATTAAGGTTCTTCATGTGGACACTAAAAGTTTAATTTCAATCGATTTAATAGTTGGGATTTCTTTTTTTTTTTTTTCCTGCACATTATCATTTGTGAACTTTTGTGAGAAATTATCCAATGGACGGTTCAATACGTGCCAGTCAGCAAGTAGCGCCGACATTCAACTTCTCTGCAGCACAAAAATGAACAGCTCGACAAGCTCAATCGCCATTTGGCATTCAGAGTTTGCTTTGTCCAGAGATCCAATTTATCCCATGGAAAAAAAAAAAAACAAAAAACAAAAACAAAAACCGGGACTTGTTGCCGGGTTGAAGCGATGTTATCACCAATTTACCGTATTTTCCGCACTAAAAGGCGCACCGAAAAGCCTTCCATTTTCTTTAAAGCTCCCAGCGCGCGCGCCTTAAAATCCGATGCGCCTTGTGTATGGTCATTACGGTAATATTTTGACCCCCAAAATGGCTCCTTGCTCGAGACATGCTTACAATGCAGAGTTCAAACTCAAGGCGATCGGTTTCGCAGTTGAACACGGAAATAGAGCAGCGGCAAGCGAGTTCAACGTCAACAAGTCAATATTATAACTTGCTGTTGGTTAAGTGAACCGTGTCACTGCTTTATTAAATACATTTTACTGACATCTGATCGTTCTGTTGGTGTTTCTCCATCTAGTGGATGCATTGTGTCTTATAATGCAGCGCATCCAAAATATGAAAAAAATTACAAAATGGGCCATTCATTGAAGGTGCCCCTCATAATCAAGTGCGCCTTTTAGTGTGGAAAATACGGTAATCCAATCCCATTCAAAGACAAGGCATAAAAAAGAGGTCCGATGAACTCCGGGACAGCTTGGCCGATTGAGCTCCGGCTGCAGGTCAGTCGAAAGGTCGCCAAATGGCATCGGTGAGATACAACAAGACAGGGGCAAGAGCACTGAAGACAAAGATGCTCCGAGGCGTGAAACCAAGACCGAGAAAGTTCCAGCCGGGGGCCCCCTTCAGACGTGAAGCCTTTCAGAGTGCCGGGAAAATGCGGAACACAAACCCAAGAATAAAAGTCCTCCTCATCCCTTCACCGTCAACTGACGCAAAGACGTTCCCTGACCTAAAAAGAACGAAAAATGATCTTTGACCGAATTTTCACTGATACATTCTTCGCGGCATTTTCAGATTCAACCAAAATCGCTCGTCAAAAAATAAATGAATAAAGTTTTCGATTGCAGTTGTTTACAACACACGCCACCGAATCCAAAAATAAGAGGAAGATGAAAATGATTGTCATCAAACTTGTCAATCGGCACAATCTGCAGAGGGCAAAAATCAAAGGCTAATGTTTATTTATGTCGACGTCGTTTGAGCGTCGCGAATGAATCTTCGCTCAACGGACAAAGATCAGAGATTCGCCGAAAAACAAACACGCGGTAAAATATTCACACAAAGCTTCTCCCTCTTTTATCTTTCCGAACTTTGTGCCACTTCGTGTCAATCAAAAGAATCAAACAAATGGTAATGTGTTCACAAATCGACTCATGCCAGGAAAACAACTTTTTTGCGAGGCGCGCGTTTGTTTGACATCGCCGCCAAGTTTTCACGTCATAACAAACAAAAGAAACAAACTAGGAGAAAAAAAAAACGTTTCTTGTTGTACATAGCGTGACAAACGCGTACAAAGTACAAAACAAAGTTGCGTCGCGAGCGTAACTGGAAAAAGTACATGTGCCATACACCAACTGTAGCAGGGGTGTGCAAACTTTTTCATTTGAGAACCGCAAACATAAAAATGGAAGGATGAAAGGGCCACTGTCAAATTTTTGAAACACGGCAAAGTCAATCAAGAGGTGCAATTGCGCGTTGTTTCTTTTGTCTAGTTAATTCCATCAGTTTTCCGTTCAAGGTGTGAAGGCAAATAGTTGAGGATTTTTCCCAGTTTTTTGGGGTGGCCAACTGCCCTCTGTCTCATGGAATAGATCCGGCCCTGCATTTGACAGCAGCCAAATCTCATCTCAACATTTAAAAAAAAAAAAAAAAACAGAAAAAACAAAAAAACCCAAAAGTGTAGCTAAGCGACAAATATTTAATGTGACATTCTTTGAATCACAAATGGTTTATTTGTATCTTCGAATCTCGAGAAAAGTATCCAAACGAATGTGTTTGTATGAATGGCGCCTATTTTTCTGACAACCTCCTTTCTCACTCTGCCCACCTTCTTTTGCTCACACTTGTGACAGATTTGGTTTGTAATCAACACGGCGGCACAGCGATATCCAACAGGGTTTAATTTCCATGAAAATGACATTCATTATTCATGACGCCTCTCGGGGGGGACGCACTTGAGCGGCTGTTAAGAGATGCTAACAGACGCCCAGAGAGCAAACGGTGAAATAAATTATGCCAGTCGTTATTCTCGGCAGCTTCTCGCATCCAACAGAACTTTTCCCTTTGAGTTTGGAAAACGTTTGGAAAAGCTGTCACCGTCATTTCTCCTTGAAGCCTCCTCGCTGCCCATCTTTAAAACCCGCCTCAAAACTCACTTGTATTCTTTGGCATTTGACTCGGCATGACCCAAATGATGATCTTAGTTAGACTGTTTGGTGCTCTCGAGCGTCTTTGATACTGATTTGTTGCTTTGCTTTACTGTTGTATATGCTAGTTGCTCCACCTTCAGCACTTTGTGTGCAGCGATGGCTGTTTGAAAGTGCTCGACAAATACAGTTGAGTTGAAGTCTTACAACTGTTTGGGTCAGTTATTTGAACCAATTTTGACATTTATCTTGTCAAATGTCATTCACAAAACTAGAAATCTTGAAAGTTTGCCTACACTGAGGCCATTCTGGATCAAATTTGACATCGGTCTCTGTCTCCTTCTGTTTGTGTGTGTGTGTGTGTGTGTGTGTGTGTGTGTGTGTGTGTGTGTGAGAGAGAGCTTTCATGGCTCTTTTAGTCAAAAAGGTTCCCGACCCCTGCCCTAATCCCTGAAACCGAACCCTCACCCGAACCCTAACCCCAACTCTAACCTTAACCCGAACACCTAATGTCCAGCCCTACCCCTCACCCCTAATCCCAACCATAACCCTAACCCTAACCTCAACCCTAACCCCTAACCTCTCACACGAACCTAACCCCTAACCCTAACCTGTAAAATGGCATGTGTGCCACAGACAGACACACGAACAATAACTTCACAGCTAAGTGAGTCAGCTGTAATATTATTAGTAATTATTTGCAAAGTACAATGAACATACACCTCGGAGTCCTGTTACACTGCCTGTCTACGTTTGTTGCACCCCTGATTGTGTTTGCAATGTCATGACTCAACGACGCTAACGCTGTGTTATATTTGGGTTGAGGATTTGGCCCTGGAGATCGGGTCGAGATTTTCATTCAACAGCGTCTAAAAAAAACATCCATACTGATGAGTTAGAGCCATCCAAAAAAAAAAAAAAAAAAAAAAAAAAAAAAGGTTACCAGGTGATCAGTATAGCTTCGGTTAAACGTATTTTATTCTCAACCGTTTCTAAGACGAAACAACTCCCCCCTCCGCCGGGAGTCACCACAGCGAGTCACTCGCATGAGTCACACGGCCGAGCTCTTTTCAGTTCATTGACTTCAACTTCAGTGCTTCACTTCAAAATGGCGACCAGCTTTTCAGATCTTCAGCCCGCCCAAATCCAATCTTCAATCCAATCCGCTGGGTCAAAATAATGAACCCAAACTTGAGTAGAAGTTACAAAAATCAATCCCAAAATTCCACCGCTGCCCTGATGTCACCAAAATTTGGCGACAGGCAAAAGTGAAGGTCTGACTCGGCCGCCGGGAGCGAAGGTGTCGCGGAACTCCGTCTCCAGATGGACGCCGGGCACCTTGAAGATGGACACGGCTGGGAAAAGACAAGGGATGGGATGCGGGATGCGAAATGACGGTGAGGTGCATGATGGGATGGGCTCTTACTGTCCCTCAGGTGCATGACGGGCGGCGGTAAGGTGTTAAAATAGGAGTGCAGGAGGGCTTCTGACGCCGGGATCCGGTCGGCGGGCGCAAGCGTCAGCATTCTCTGAACCAGGTCTTCGGTTTTGCATGGCAGTCGACTCAACCTGATGCAGATCAAGGTGAAATCACGTTTCTTCTACTCACATTCTCTTCGTTACTAAAGTGATGAATTCAAAACAAAAACCGGAGAGGCATTTCTCATGTGTCAAAAAATGTCATCTTTCATAGAGTCGTATTTCGTTACGTTCATAACAGAAATGGCTAACCCGAAGAGTCATTTGTTTCCCAAGTCTGCACCGGACAATCGAGAGTTATTTCCTGCAAAACTCTGACATGGGCAAAAACGGAGTTCAGCAGTTCGGTTATTATCGTGATGATATTTGAAAATATATGACAAAACATGCACGGCAGATGAATGGAGCACTCTAAATCATGGGTGTCGAACTCAAGGCACGGGGGCCAGATCCGGCCCGCCACGTCATTTTACATGGCCCGCAAATGCAAATCATGTGTGTCAACTTTCATGATGCTTTGCTAAAATGAGTTCCGAATGGTCAAATTGTCAATAATGTTGAGATTTTGCAACATTTTCGTTATCCGGGTCACGCTCACTTGAACAAGAATTGGACAAACCGCAAACAAACAGTTGACTGATTTCAAAACAAGTCATCCATCAATTTGTTGCGTACGACGTGACGATTAAACATTTATTCGGTTTCATTGTCTCAACGGCCCACCGAGGGAAGACGAAACTCCAAAGCGGCCCGCGACAAAAAACATGTTTGATACCCCTGCTCTAAATTGTCCCGAGGTGTGACTGTGAGTGCTAACGGTTGTCCGTCGAGGTGTGCCCCGCCGACACTTGGAGCGATTAGAAGGGTATTACGTCATTGACAGTAACTTCATGTCATTCCAAAGAGTCGGCGAATTTGAAGAGTTTGATGCTGTCACTGTTCTCGCTATGAACTCGCCTCGCAAGCGGAAGTTCACACGCCGTCGTATCCCAAACGCGGCATTCGCACAGAATAGCGATCTGTCAGCCACGCCTGCCGTGAGCCTCCTGCCTAAACCTACTAAACAGCATTTAGTGATTCATGAGAAAATAAGATGATACCGGTGCCCGAGTTGAAAGCGTTTCTTTTGCTTTCTCACCTTTTCCACACACAGCGAATTGGCTTCAGCTTGGAGGGAAGGGACCAGTCTGGAACAACAACAACAATGACACAAAAAAAAAAACAAAAACATTTATTTGTCTCACAATGGAGACATTCGCAATTTACAGAAGCAATCAAGTAGAAAAACAAAGTATTTGCATGCACAAAATAAATTTAAAAATGAATGCAATATAAAATATAAGATATAAGCACATATGCATCTGCATATATGCTGCATAAGGTGGCTGTGCTATTTTAAAATGGGTAAGTGGGGGTGAGTCCGGGTTTTCAGGTGCGTCTATTCATTATTTTTATTTGTTAATCATATTATTCTATTATTATTTGTGGGGCTTGGTCCTTTTTTCCCCAATTGAAAACATTTACATCATCAGCATCATCATTACATTGAGAATTGCAATTTGTTTTTAGTGTGTGTGTGTGTGTGTGTGTGTGTGTGTGTGTGTGTGTGTGTGTGTGTGTGTGTGTGTGTGTGTGTGTGTGTGTGAAAAAATGGCATTGATTTTGTGCCCCTTTGTAGAACTGCGTTTCATGAAGTACGGTCCATTTACTTCTATTAGTTCAGCTGCAAATCCGCCACATCAAACATGGCGGACATGTTGCTGCATCACAGAAACAAATCAACCCACCCGTGATTACAGGCCACACGGCCATTGGGTGCGACAAGACGAGACTGACCTGAGTGATAGTTGGGCAGCCGAGTAACTCCGGGCCAGGTATCCTCCGATGGGATTCCAAGCACCTGCAGAGACGCAAAGGTGTGAAGGACTCATGTGTGCCGGTGCGAATAAAAATCATTTCTTTATTTTATTAGAAAAAACTAATTTCAGTTCAAATGTTTGTTGCTCCAACCAGAAAGATTTGCTGCAGCTGGTCAAACACGTCAGTGACTCCCGGGAATGCCGGAGCCCCTTGCAGCATCTCCACAAAGATGCAACCGGCACCCCTGGACACATGTGGAAGCCAGTTCCAAATATGGCAAGTCAGGAGGCTCGGGTCTTGAAGTTCACGTTTCAAGCAAGACTGACCAACAGTATAGATTTCATCCATCCATCCATTTTCAAATTTGTTTAGCCTCATAAAAGTCGCGAGGGGCGCTGGAGCCTCCTATCCCAGCCGTCTTCGGGCAGTAGGCGGGGGACACCCTGAACCGGTTGCCAGCCAATCGCAGGGCACACAAAGACGAACAACCATCGCTCACACTCACACCGAGGGATAATTTGGAGTGTTCAATCAGCCTGCCGTGCATGTTTTTGGAATGTGGGAGGAAACCGCAGTACCCGGAGAAAACCCATGCAGGGAGAACATGCAAACTCTCCAGAGGAAGGCCAGAGCCTGAATCGGAACCCTGCACCTCCGCACTGTGAGGTTGACATGCTAACGAGTTGACCACCGGGCCGCCGAGTATAGATTTGTCCAAATTAAAAAGTGTGTCAAATTAAAAAGAGAGTTATTTTCATATTAAGACTTTCCGTCTACTGCGATTGGCTGGCAACCGGTTCAGGGTGTCCCCCGCCTACTGCCCGAAGATGGCTGGGAGAGGCTCCACCATGCCCCGCGACCCTTGTGAGGATGAAGCGGGTCAGAAAATGGATGGATGGTTGGATGGTTGGATTTTCAGTCCAACTCAATTCAACCACCTCTGCCCCAAACGCACTTCAAAGTACAGTCATACCGATGATTTCGACCAGAATCCGTTCCAGAAGGCTGTTCGAAAACCGAAACCACGCTCTTTTTAAAAAAAATTTAAAAAAAATCTTTTTTGAACACGTCTGCTCACAAAGGAACGCTACACGGGCAAGCGTCACTTCCTCGTGTAAGGAAGGCGAGAGGAGTCAAGTGGCGCATTCAAGTGCGCTCAGTTTGGTCGAGAACCGATTTTCGGTCGTAATCCGAGGCGTAAAAAACTCAAAATTTTTGGTCGAAAACCGATTTGGTGGAGAACACAGACGTTCGAAAACCGAGGTTTGACTGTATTTCAAATGTTCCCGATCTCATTGTTGTCCTGACCGTTGACCCAAAGCCGGAACTCACCAGATATCCAGAGCCGTCGAATAATCTGTCGATCCAAGCAGGACGTCGGGAGGGCGGTACCACAACGTCACCACATCTGAGGAGAAACTCTGACAGGGGACAGATTTGGAACGGGCCAGACCTGCACGCGCAACCAAAAAAGTGGGTCGGTCTCGTCACGGCAACATGACGCGCGGCGGGTGCGGCCCACCCGTCGGAACCAACCGAAATCGGCCAGTTTGAGCTCTCCCAAGTAGCTGATGAGCAGGTTCTGAGGCTTCAGGTCTCGATGGAGGATCCGACGTTCGTGGATGAAGGTGAGACCGCGCAGCAGCTGGAACATGAAGATCTACGAGGGGAAGATCCCTTGAGTACAATCGACACCGGCGGACGTGTTTAAAATGCTCACGAGAATCCCTCATTGTTGGGAAACTCGACTCACGCTCGTTTTGAAATCCCCCCCCCCCCCCCCGGTGCGGGCCGCCGCCACCTCCGCTACGCGCGAGGGCGTCTCACCACATATTCAAAGACGAAGGTGAGCGAGTCTCTGGCGTGAACGATGTCGTGCAACAGGACGATGTTGGCGTGCTTCAGGCCTTTGAGCAGTGAAGCTGCGCGCGGACACGCACACACACACACACACACACACACACACACAGAAGAAGTGTTCTATTGTCACTTTGTCAATGAATCACAGAATTCGACAGTGTGACACTGGCACACACTGGATCTGCCAGAGGGACCGGAGGTGGTTGGGGGCAGCGGGT